AATTTTTTGGTCGCTACCCGGAATCGAACCCGGGACCTTTGAATGAGAGGCCAACACCTTAACCTCTAGGCCACGAGAGCCCCCATCCTAACTCTGATCTAAATTTAGTCAATGGTGGCGAAAAAACACAAACATTTTTTTCATAGAAAGATGAACATAATTTGTAAATCTCAAAAGAAAAAGCCTTCGGTCAAAGTAAAGATATTGACAATTGCCCCAGTATCCATCCGGAGACGTCTCTGACGGAAATACAACAATCAAAACGCTTTGTGCCTGTGGGCCATGTAAAAAAAATAATCTCGGGGTGCCCCCACCCCCCCTTGTTTTAACCCATAATTTGATATTTAATTTTGCAGTTAGGTTAGAAATGTTCTTGAAAATAATTGATTTACGACAGTTTTTGTGGGTATATGTGTAATCTGTAGCAGACAATACGCAGTTTGACCCCCCAAAGCAGTGCATCTGTGAGCGGGAATCCGTCTCCGAATAGCTCATGGGTGCTCGCTGGAGCCGTCTCCGAATATCTTCTGCCACGCGAGGATTGCTGTCTCTCTTTCACTTGTTCATATCATTAAACACTGCTGTTGGTCTTTCTATGTTTTAAATATGTCGAACCAGTACTTGAAAATAGAAGGGTCTAGCCCGTTCTGATAAAGATGATATTAATTAAAGCAGACAAAATGGAACAACTCAAACGAAATATGAAAAGAGACAAAGTCAAAAGATGGACAACTGTGACGAATGTCGGTTTAGTTTGTAATCATCGCATTTTTGCCTCAGGCATCTTCTGCAACTGTATCCTAGCGAAACGGTGTCGGTGATTCTAAAAACAACAGCCTCTCTCGCTGGAAGAGTTTTCAACAACCTAGATCTTCTTCTTCAATCGTCAAATCTGGAGCAGACATTTCATGTACAGTATTGACTTGGACGATCACGGTAGCCTAGGCCTACCCCACTCCTTCCTGTTGTTGTCTTCTTGATCAGCTCGGTTTTTCTCATAGTGTCATTTTTTGCAAGGTTGTTCAGGCCATCAGATTTGTATAATATGATGTTCTATTTCTTCCTCTGCTTTTCTGTCCCTCTATCTTTTCACACAGCCTAGATCGCAATCCCTAAAATTCTGGAGTTGAGGGAACAAGAAGATTATTGGGGTCAAATGAAATTTACGTATAATGTCATTGTTATTATTATTTATCATTATTATAATCCCTGTGGCGCCGACCTTTAGACCACTTTTTAAAAAGAAGAAACCACAAACCCTTCAACTCTCAAAATTTAAATTAAGGCAGCATTCAATATTCCTGTGATCAAGAGAGCTTAAGGGGGGAAAGCTTTTGAAAGCGATATTGTCCCAACTGTAAACCTTTTAAAATCTGTAGAAATCACGCACTGGAATTTTCTGTCAGTAATTTATTAAGAACTTTTCAAGAATAGAGCAAACAGGTGTTTACAGAAATATTGATCTGTTAAGACAAGTCGATACACGTCACCGTGCAAAAATTGAAGAGTCTATGTTCGATAGTTGAGGAGATATTTGACAATTAGTTGCGCCACGAATTTTTGACCGCACCATAGTACACGAGTACGATACGGGGTACCTGTGGTACGTCTTTCGATATAATTAATAATGTCCTTTGCGAACCATGAACTCAAACCTTGAACGATGTGTGTATTACTTTAAAAAAAAAAAAAAGTATATTCTTCTTATTTTACAAAAGTATGCTCGCAACATTTAATGTCAGACAGACTAACTTGAAATTCATTGAATAACAGGTGGCACAACTGGGGGACTCCAACGGCTAAGTGAGTTCAAAGTCAAAAGTAATGTCGAGCAAGTGTCTCTGTGACACAGGGTTTACATGAGTGGTCACTGGGATGTGTCCTTGAGCAAGACACGACAACCCAAGGTGAAAAATAAAACCAAGGCACTGCACCATCGCATGTTTGTGAAATTGTTCGGTATTGCAGTAATGAATCTGTGTATTTATGTATTTCTAACTATGTACTTATGTATGCGTATGTTTGTGATTGTAACCCAAATGCGGATTAATAAAATGTAATTTATCTATATTTAATATCGTCAGCACCATTTCACATGTGCTTAGGTCATTTTTTTGTAGTTTTGACTTTGAGAAAATTAAGGGAAGACCCTGGTCGGCGATCCCAGACAATATCGATAAAATTTGTCAAACTATCCAACTGTTGTTTTTTGCCGAAAAACATCCTTTGACATCTGCTCTATCGGGTCACAATGTGTATTACTATCAACTGAACAAACTTTGACGATCAAACCTGTCCCCACAGTAATCATCTGCCAGTGAGCTGAGCGGACAACGATACGACACGGTAGTTCATTAGATATAGTACATGTGTACGATACAAGATCCCCTGGGTACATCTTTCGATAGGGCCTATAATATAAAATGTCCTTTGCGAACCATGAACTCCGACCTTGAAAAATGTATGTATTACTTACTGAACAAATTGTGATCATCAACCTCTACGTACAATAATTATCATTATCTGTGTTTAGTGTTTAGTAAGGTTTTACGGCGCTCGCAACTACATAGTAATAATTAGGTCAAATGAGCACAATCAGTGTGCCGGTCGGACAACGATACAAGATACGACACGGTAGTGCATGTGTACGATACGACACGGTAGTACATGTGTACGATACGACATACCCGAGGCACATCTTACTGTAATAATAATATCATGCAGGTCTGTAATTATTATGTCCTTTAGGAAGCATGAACTCCGACCTTGAAAAATGATCCCTGGTGGTTGCGGTTGAACCCTCGACTCTGCCTGTCTCTCCACGCTCTGTTCACGCGGCACAGCCTTGAAGCTTTTCACTTATCGCCGAGTGGAGAAATAGGAGAAGAGGGAGGGCGGGGAGTACGGAGCGGTTAAAGTTCTATATACAGGTAGATCTAAGTTTTTTGTAAAGGGGAGGGGTGATTGAACATAATATTACTGAATGGTGAGAACACCTTCTGGGGTCCATTGAACTCAGGGGTTGCACACATAATTTTTTTCCGAGTAGCGGTGGGGTGGGGGGACGGTGGGCAAGGGGGCATGTCGGTGCGGGTTGGTGCTTGTAGTGTAGCAACGGCAAAAGTGACAGCCGGTGGAAGAACCTGTCCTGCCATCGCGTGTCGCGCATCGAGAGCTGGGCCCGCACCCATTTTATGGAGAATCGGATTTTGTGTGTAGACAATATTGTAGTAAACCAAATAAAACAACCAGAGCGCAATTAAGGTTTCAGAAATTGATAAAATGGAAAAAAGGTAATTGTAACTTTACTTTTACCTGGCAACTTTAGAAGAACAAAGTGCCAATATTCTGAATTATTAACCAAAATGTTTCACCGCATCTTGAACAAGGAGTTTAAAAAAAATCAGTAGTAAAATAACCGGTAAACCGGATTCACATTTTAGATTTTTGTCCTGGTCCAATACCCACCGAAATGGGCGATTCATTCTTGAGTTGAAAGGTCACAGGGAGAGATCGCTCTCAGGCTCGAGTCGGAAATCGAAACTGCATACTATTTGCGCTGCTGTGTTTCGTGTTTCTGTAACATTATCTGTGCAGAGACGGCGGAATTCCGCTTCCCACAACACGCGGTGCACATCTCTACCAGTTGTAGTAGGCTAACCACCAGGGCTTCCCAGTGTGTAAGTAGCCTACATTTATTGTGTTGTTATACATTATATATCGATCTATATGTATACATGTATATCATATGACCTTATGAAGTTGCGAGCGCCGTAAAACCGTCTACTGTAAAAAAAAAGTATACACACATATCGCGAGCGTTGTAAAACCTCTACTAAAACTAAAAACACATATA